TCGTTTTTTAATACTTTTACACTGTTAATTAAGAAGCAACGTGACTGGGCTGTTGTAGTTGTCTGTGATCACCCTTCAGCTGCCTCAAAACTTACTATCCTCCCAATCAGTCAGCCCATCAAAATCTTTGAGAACTAGGTTCACATGTTTTGCACCCACGTTTTCCAGCATACTTCCTCGCCTCCTGTTGTTTTACATCCACTTTGTAGCACTTACCATTTGACATATGCGCATCGGCATTCCAGCGCGCGTTGTGACTGGAATGTTTTTTTTTCATGGAAACATTATTGCACTTCGCTGCAGACGCAAACCATCAGCATCTATTTCATATTCAGGTTGACGTATTCATCGCTGACCTGGACGGTGGCAGTGTCACTTGCCCGGAGAACATTCCTGTACCACAACTTCCCGAACCCTACTTTGAGCAGGTCGTAGAAAGTCTGTTTCAGGTTAGTTTTTTCCAGCTTTTGTTTTGGTAAGTAATGTTGCTGACACTATGAAATGATTGTGTCAAAAAACCAGGAGCTTGTTTTTCAAGAAGTGCGTCTGTTTGTTTGTGTGGGCGTATATATACTTGACACCGCTTTATGTCCACTCGCTAATTTCCAAGCGGACACTGCCAAAGTTGGATGGTTTTCTCTCCATCTCTGAACTTCTGCTTTCTTATGAGTTGACTTTTTGCGTTTACTCATGCAAATTTCGTCCCAACTTGCAAAGAAAATAAACTACCGATGCAAAGCAGTACTTTAACTGTAATTTCAGCTTTCGGAAAGTGTGCCACAATATCAATAGGAAACCTTTAAGGTAGTCTAGTCTAGTAGCCATAGCTATTGTTCTATTATTATCTTGTTGTCCATTGTCAGAAGAATCAGATTTGTGAGAATTGAGGTGGATTTTGCCGAGTTTACATTCACCGCAGTTTCACTTTTCGATAGCTGTCTGAAACGCGCCGTTCCTTCCGTAGACACATGGTAGCTCTTTTTCCCCTATTTGGAAGCTAATTTTGAATTAGTCCATCGTAAAAAACTATGGCAGTGACGATGAAAGGCGTCTTCAACCTCTCAGTTTGTGTACTCTTCAAATCTCCATCGTCGGCATATAACATCTTGTTAATTGAGATCTCTCAATATTTTTGACTCAAAACATTGAGTACGCTGGCAATACCGCTATTATTGGACCATATCCTCTAGAAATGTTAATTATTTTTTAATAACCTAAATAATCCTGCTGTTTGATTCAGCGTGTAGCTAACACTTTGGAAGTGTACGGTCTCACTGAAAGACTAGGTCGGGTCATACCTAACGCACCTGCGGACGGATCAATCGACAAATTTGTTTATGTGGACACCCTTATATATTCAAGCGGACTGGAAAGTCCAGGGTAGCCTTTCTCCAAGTGTAGTTCAAATGTGGCATCAGTTTGGTTTGGTGCACTCTTAATCAGGGACGTTGCCACTACATTCAGATCTTCATAGACTCTCTACCCGCTCATCGGTCTCTCCGAAGCACCGCTAGGGTCTGATGGGAACATGGGATCAATAATGCGAAGGACGCCGAACGTTCTTCAGGAAAAGTAACTGCCTGTCAGTAGATCAACTGATCAGACTCCGTAGACTATGTCGCTTAAGGCATGCACTTCTCGTGGCAGGGGATAGTTTGCCCCACAGGAGCCTCTTCGCCCAGTCATGTACCAGGTGTTGACGATTCATGGTTGTTCGACTATTCGGATGAGGATCGGGGGATGAAATGAACCAAATTTTAGTGAGCCTGACAGATTTGAACCTGTTGCGCAGCCAATGACGGTCAATCCATTACCTTTAATACGTAGCTTACCTACTATCTGGTTTATCCGACAAACGGAACAGTTGGAGAAGAATCAGATTTGTGAGAATTGAGGTGGATTTTGCCGAGTTTACATTCACCGCAGTTTCACTTTTCGATAGCTGTCTGAAACGCGCCGTTCCTTCCGTAGACACATGGTAGCTCTTTTTCCCCTATTTGGAAGCTAATTTTGAATTAGTCCATCGTAAAAAACTATGGCAGTGACGATGAAAGGCGTCTTCAACCTCTCAGTTTGTGTACTCTTCAAATCTCCATCGTCGGCATATAACATCTTGTTAATTGAGATCTCTCAATATTTTTGACTCAAAACATTGAGTACGCTGGCAATACCGCTATTATTGGACCATATCCTCTAGAAATGTTAATTATTTTTTAATAACCTAAATAATCCTGCTGTTTGATTCAGCGTGTAGCTAACACTTTGGAAGTGTACGGTCTCACTGAAAGACTAGGTCGGGTCATACCTAACGCACCTGCGGACGGATCAATCGACAAATTTGTTTATGTGGACACCCTTATATATTCAAGCGGACTGGAAAGTCCAGGGTAGCCTTTCTCCAAGTGTAGTTCAAATGTGGCATCAGTTTGGTTTGGTGCACTCTTAATCAGGGACGTTGCCACTACATTCAGATCTTCATAGACTCTCTACCCGCTCATCGGTCTCTCCGAAGCACCGCTAGGGTCTGATGGGAACATGGGATCAATAATGCGAAGGACGCCGAACGTTCTTCAGGAAAAGTAACTGCCTGTCAGTAGATCAACTGATCAGACTCCGTAGACTATGTCGCTTAAGGCATGCACTTCTCGTGGCAGGGGATAGTTTGCCCCACAGGAGCCTCTTCGCCCAGTCATGTACCAGGTGTTGACGATTCATGGTTGTTCGACTATTCGGATGAGGATCGGGGGATGAAATGAACCAAATTTTAGTGAGCCTGACAGATTTGAACCTGTTGCGCAGCCAATGACGGTCTTGCATTTAATCCATTACCTTTAATACGTAGCTTACCTACTATCTGGTTTATCCGACAAACGGAACAGTTGGATGCCAACGAAATTATTGGGCCACTGCATCCAGTGCGTGGCAACTAACCCCTCATTCTCTGTTCTCGATGAACGAAATTCTATGAGCTAAACTAGACTGAGGACACAGCGGATGCCGCACCATTTGTTGCAACGAAAAAGAAAGAAATCGTTCAACTGTAACACCCGGTGCCTAGCTGCCACGCCACCCGAAGGAAGCGCGAGGGCTGAGATACTGCCAAGTTGTCCAAGCCTAGACAGAGAAAATCGAGAGACAGAGGTCGGGTTTTTAAACCACGGACCTTCTGGTCAGTGAATTCGCGTTCTGGCCACTTGGGCCATCCCGCCCTTTTTTTGCAGCAACCGAAATCACTATCATGTGACTTGTTGTTGACTGGCTTATCGAGTAGTGATTTCAGAATTTCTACTGACCAATCCTGACCCATGCATCTCGCCGGTTCGTCTGCGATAAATGGATGCCACCAACCAGTCTCCTTCCGAAACGCTGATGCATTGATCTCAGTTATTTTGCATTGGAATGTGGGTTATTTGCCCTCCTGCGCTACTTTGTAGGTAGCCAGGACTGCATCCAACATGTATTCTGCTCCTTTACAGTCTGCGTAACTTGCGGATGCGTTTGTCTGTTTGCAACTTTTTTAGCCTTGATTTAATGAAATGTAATGCAATGGGATCTGGCACCACATCTCGCAACGAGACTCCATTCATTCTGAGCGGTCACTAACCTTTTAGGTGTACACCGTTACACACCACTAGTACACACTACTCATGTTAACCAACTACCATAATCCGTGTCATTCATTAATAATTGACATCTTTATTGTTTAAAACATTGCTTTTAGATTCTCAGCCCGGAGTTACTTACCGCCGATCACGTGTACCCACCCAAACCAAATGCGCCTTCAGCTGACCTTATCCACCAAGATAAACAACTACGTGCCGTTTTCCTCCGTCTTTTCGCCTCTCTGTTCTCTGGCTATCGGTCGTGTCTGAACATCACGCGCATCCATCCACAACCAGTCATTCATTTCAATCAGGTATTGTTTTGCATTTTCTTCTAACTGTTCGACTGAATCAGTTTGACTGACCTATTCTTTCAAACCCCATTATCACTATTTTCGCTCACAGCGAACGGTCATCTCTCCTGTTATTGACTTCACCATTCCGCCACTTACCTACCAAACGACGTATCCGTTTTTGCGTCATGTGGTCTGGTGTCGCACTACCTTAAAAGGGATGTCATTCCCCTACCCTTTGACTGCCAGTTGTGAAAGTATCATATGGACTCATAGCAACTATATTGAACAGTCCTCAGGGTTGGACGAATCAGGAGCTGTTTGGCCGATGGTTTGGTCAGGTCCACTAGCTGATGTGCTTGTCAATTAAGCCCACCTAACCTGGTTTTAATGCTGATAGACGATCGATCAGAAAAATAGCGCTCCAACCTCACGAACAGCGCGTTTTAGGTGTCACAGGACGTATACATTGCCAGTCATGCACAAGGTGACTCTGGTTGGGATTAGCAGGCAGACTTGTCTGCTGTCCATTTGTCTAGAGAATGTTGCGCGTTCTGGGAGTCGAAAACGCATCTTACTGAGTGTAGATGCAGTCAGACCGTACTGACTGTTTGCCGTCCGATTGACTACATAGAGTGTGTTGTCGACTCCAGAACTCTTAAACTACCATCTTTAATAGAATAATTCGGAATCCCCTGTACACCAGTTGTCCACGTTTCCACTGTTATCAGGATGGTACATCTGAATCGTGCAATCACACCTCGTGCTTACGAACGGTCTAACTACTCGTCCTAAGTGGAATGAATCATTCCAGTGTTCTGACAGATGCCCCATCACGTTTCGTCTATGCTTTTTAGATAATTCGCACCCAATCGCGCCGGTACGCAACAATACGACTCGGTATCCAGGTTCTGGCGAACACAGTGCGGTCAGCTCATTTGGCTTGTATAATCTCAACATTAGGGCACTCTTGCCATGATGTGGATTCCCCCATGCTTAATACACATAAAATCTCTTCGGGAGCTTCGGAATAGCTGGTCACATTCAGTTGCACATTGCCGAGCGCCGTGCACGGTCAAATTTGGCCTCATTTGCTAGTAGTAGCATGCGGGTTTCCCAAACCACTGTCAAGACTTTGGGCTTTGGGCAGTCGTCATGATTAACAGGATGAAATCAAGAGAAAAGTTACGTGCTTAACTCTTACTGCGTTTACTGCGTTTGGAAGTATCTTAGTCAAAATTCGACGACGTGCTCGTTCCAGCGTTACGTGAACGTCAATCACCAGTTTCCGTCGCTCAGATTTAATCATGTACTGCGGTCGTCATTTTGACTATTTTCTATTTTCCTCTTACTTCACAGTCGTTATTTGTAATGCTCCGGAAAATATCGTCACAAAATGAGTTTTTCGAACGCCTACTCTCGAGCATGCGATTCCACCAGTTCGTTTTGGAACGCGGGCCGCCATTCCGTGTCTGCGATGTATTCGATGAAGTTTACGATACGGCTCTGCCGCCGCACAGACGGTCGATAGTCGAGCTATCTCCTGCGGATGACCTGCATAGCAGTCCCTTATCAACTCAGAGCTTGTCACAGAATGACCGTCTGAGCCAAAAACTGTTGGAAAATGTGAGCTGTTTTGTTCGTTTGTTGCTCTTTCTCAGGTCTGCAAGTTTCTAATTTAAGTAGTGACAATCGTAATAAGTATCTTGACCTGTTGCTACAGGCGGTTTCGGAGACGAATAGCCGTTCAAACTTTTTATTTGGGCGCAGTGCACGTTAGTTTCCTTGTAAAATTATTCCTTTGTTCGAAAACTTGTTTCCCTCTCCATGGTAAATCAGGTTATTTCTCCCAGTCCGAATTTATATCATTCCTCCCTATTCTATCCCCAATAACACAGGGAATTTTGAAGATCGGGATTTTCTCTCCAAGTAGCTTTTACCGATGGCACAAAGGTTCGACGTCGGAAGAAACCGCCTTCCTGGGTCTTAGCTGTCAGTCGTATCTTTTTCGCTCATTTCAAGCCCTTTGTGGCGGCAGTCCAGTTCAACGTTTTATGATCTAAGTGATGTCTCCAAAAGTCTATGAGTGTTTCTTGTCTTAGATCTTTGGTCTCATATAGATCAGAAGAAGCAGCAGGGTGCATGGTGGATCATTGTGGGCAAATTCGCTCGTACAAGTGGCTTGTCTCTGCTCAAAAAGGTTCGCTCGACTAGCTAAAGCGGAGGTGACAGTCATGTGGAGTTCGACCTTCATGGGGGTTCGTATTTACGAGCAGGAGCATCGGGTGTTCTGTGTGAATCTGAATGATCGCCACTAAGTTGTGGACACCGAAATTCATTCAGCGCACTAACTGGCACTGTAGTCATACGTGACTGGATAGTCATTAACCAAAGACGTGTCGCTGTTACTAATTTCTGTCAACATGGTAAACAATGCGTGGAACCGAAACGAAAGGACACCTCGCTAACCTCATACTTCGACAACGAGGTAATAAAAAAATTATGTTTTACGAGAGATTGTTCAGGCAGAATGTCGACAAGCGAATGCTGATTTCGAAAAATGATCAGGTAATACGCGCAACCCTTTCTACTCATAGCTAGGGTATTAGGCTGTCAGGATGAACAACCTTCACATGCGGCAATGATTAGAGCAACCTTTAAGTTACACGTTTGATCTCTTCTTATGATGACCAACCTCACTCAGCGGAGAACACGCCCCAAGAGAAACGGGATCAGCCGGATGCGACGTACAAGCGTCGATTCAGTTGGCGGTTCTTGAGGGTGGTATGAATCGCATATCATTGTCTGGCTGATAGGGACAGCATGATAGGTATTTACACTAAACTGCAGATCAGTGTCAGGAGAACTCTGTATCAGAGTATTTCTTAGTCCAGCTGTTCAGACAGTGATTACAGTCGGTTTTCCCCCACTACCGCGATCTTTGTGTACAAGTCACTGTCCTCTGTAAACCATTGCGACAACTCTCCATTTCAAAAATCGCTGCGATGAAGGGCGTTCTTTTTTGTGATGCAGGTTGATTACGGTGTGAACAGACTGCTTTACTGCGATGACCATTTCACGTGTGTACACAAATTTCCATTTCACTCTACTACAATGAGCCTCCAACCCGTTATTTGGTTTCACAACTTTCTTGCCACATTCCACAGACGCCGACCACGGGAACAATGTAGTTCTGTAATGGAAACGTCCTATAAATGCACTCTCGTACTCTTTGCAAGGTTGTTTCAGTCCCTTTCTTTCAGTTCTTTCAGAAATCATTCGAGTCAAACGCAAATGTCAATTTGAAATGCCTTTTTCAGGAATGTGGTGACAAACCAGTGGAGCATATCCTCCCCAACGAAGCTGTGGAGGCACATAAACGCCTTCACCAGACACCCTTTCCCAAGCTTGACAGTCGCCTAATTGATCAGCTGACTTTTGAAGCATGCCAGAAGAAGAGCGTGAAGTAAGCCTTCCGTTTGGGTTTTAGATGAACCGGTTTGTCACCGGTCGTCTGCAGTTTTATCCCATTGACGATTGCGGGCCTAACCTTTCCTTGAAGTTTTCTGTCTCAGCAGAAGACTTCCGGACATCCTCATCGATTACTTCACTTCTCTCGCGTTGTAAAACAATGCATGGTCGTTCTTTCGGTCTTGGCCTTGAAAAATTTCGGGCATTGTTTAGAAACGTATTAAATCCAACAGAATAGGGTCACTGAACACGTTTGAATTGCCTTAGAGCTTCGTATTGGTTCCTGACAAGGATGGCACATCATCACAGTGCTTCTTTGTTATCTAAATTAAATTTCTACTAAAACTTCGACATTGTCACTTCCTACAAACTGCTTATAAATTTCATCGGAACAGTAGCATTTCTTCATGGGATATCAGAACCTTAATAATTCTTGCCTGTCGAGGTTTTAAAACATTATATTATTGTCAAATAATAGAACGAAGTGAGTGGGTCGGGGGACGGTTCAAGGTTGTACCTCCACATTTAAATGGTAGTCTTTCTATGTACAGTTTTGATTCCTATGGTTCACTCACAGAAAGCCAACAACTGCAGGCTTCGCCTACGTAATAATAAGGCAAACGCGTGGGCGAGGTCCACCACGTGATTTGTAAGGACCATATGTCCACTTCTATGTGATATTGGTCATGTTGCAAGAACTGACCGGACGTCTTTTGGGAAACGTTCAGAGAGCCTATGATAAACATTTAGATCATGTCTACTGCGCCTTGCGAGTTATCTGTGAATGGCATAGAAAGCGAATTCTTCGGACCAGTTCGTGGACTTATTCTTAAATATCATCCTTCGTATTGGGTTCAGGCGCCATTGGACAGTAGTGTATGCACACTGCAGTGTGAACTTATGCTTCTGGTTAATATTTTGGACGTTGTCTCACCTGCGAACAAATCAACTTGTGGTGACTCATCATTAGTTCATTGTTTTACATAACGATCTGCCGTCGTAGGCATTGTAAGGTTTGAAAAGTTTTGCGGTTCCCTCAAAACGGGAACTAGCATACCTAGGAAAATCAACGAAGGCCGTAAGTGGTCTTGTCAGTTATTCTCTGCTTTCGGCCGATATGATGAATCATCCCCGGAACCTGTCAGTGACATCCAACTAGTATCGGTTGAAGACGTTTCCAGGAAGATAGAGGTCTACAGTACCCCCGGGAAATCGCGAACCGAATTCCAATTCAGGTGCGATTGAACTGAACACCACTAGCTTCGGTTGTAGTGATGACCGTTGACTGATTCGCCGAACTGGTAAATTTGTTCTAAAACGCTTCATCGTTAATCAAGGTGAAGTCGCCGTTTGGAAGTGCGATATTTTTGTGGGGATTTCGTCCTGTAAGTGAAGCCAATGTATGCTGAAAAGCCGAGAAGCACTGTGCAACTGTTTCATCCTTATTGGGAATCATCATCACGAAACTCCGGAGAGTCTCGAACCCATGACCCCCTGACTAGTAGTTCGAATACTCAACCGCTGGGCCGCGAGCGGCTGGTCAGCAATGTGATTAAATCGCAGTTAGACAAGATATAGCGCCAATCCTTCAATCACGGGGTGTACATCACGCGGTCACATGTGTTGAATGGCTCCTGGAGCAACTACTTCTCAGATTGAGGTTTCACTCATCGGATGAAGTTTATTCTTCCGCTGAGCTACTTATAGACTGTTGATAGTGTGAGGACATTTCGGAATTTCTGTGGAGATTTCGTCAATCCCAATCGTCAAATGCAACTTCGTCCCTCAGGACCACATCACTCCATCAGTATTTAACCTGGCGCGTTTCTTCGAGTGGCGTGAGAGAGTTCTGTTTATCTGCGATAAGTTTGACCAAACCAACTTTTTAAAATCTAAATTGGAGTTTGCATCACGAAATCTCTGTGAGGCGCACTGTACCATAATGTTTCTTCAGGCGACCGGTTTTGTTGTGATATAGTCAAAACTTATTAAACCGATTTGCAAATTTCGCGGGGCTTCACCTGTTAGCTTCACAGAACAGTTCAATTTTCTTCGTTTGAGCGGTCGTACCGACAGTATCCGTTAAGATGTAACTGTTCGATATGATTAGGAGCGTATATGTTTATCTCGAGGAATCCCGCAAAAGTATCATGATTAGTCTTCAAGGCGGTTTTGCTGGTACACTGAACTTGCCCAAATTGGCAGCCTTTGTTTTTATGGGAATTCGTCATGTTTGGGGTAGGACTTCGGTTCCTCTACAAACTAACCTGTAAGCATATGAGTGCGAACTGGCACCATGGGTCATTCTAGTATTAAACGACGTTCTTCCAAAGTACGATAGAATTTATTGCTTTGACTGATTGAGATCTTTAAGATATTCAATATAATTTTCCCCCACCAAACAAACATTCAAGCCTAGAATTTGTCCCCAATCGGATGCACTGGATTTTACGCACCACATCAGTGTATCAACAATTTTATCCCATTTTTACTGGCTTTTATTTAGGTCATTACGAACGATCACTTTTTGTTCTATTTGACCACGCTACCTTATCACCAATACAGGAGAAGTAACCTGTCAGCAGTCACACACTAGTAACATTTATTCACCATACTTGCAGTCAATACTGTAATTCAGCTGTTACCAGTTCCTCCTGATTTCCACTCTGCCCCCTGTATTTGATATTCCGGATTAATATGTTACTTTTAAGGGTACCTAGAAAATCACAAGATAATAATACAAAAAACTATGAGGAACTGCTTCTAACAAGTGCCTTTGACATTCCTCAAACGGAACCGGCGGTGGGCCAAATTGCTAGTGTGTGCCGTGAATAAGGATTTTTACTTTGTCGAATTTACTCCCGTAAATGACAGCCGACACTTGAGATAAAAACTCCAAATCAGTTGACGCGATTACTGACCTATATCTATTTGATGCTGGTTGATTGGTTTGGTACCCATAAAGTATCTTCTTCTGTTGTGCATACCATGGAAACATTCCCCAGTGCTCAAACAAGGAACAACACTGTAACCGGAGATTTTTTCGTGGTACAGATGTCTTTTCGAAGACTCACTACCCGTTGACATCTGCAGTCGTGTTGTCAATGAAAGTACCGTGACCCTCTTTGGTCATGACCGTAATTTTTGACTGAAAGTACCATGAACATATCCTAGGATGAACCCGCTAAGGTTTTTTTTCTGGCATTGCGGGAATATGATCGACAGTACGATCGTCAGCAACTGCTCGGCGTGACAAACGGTTTGGTTAATTAGATCAACAATAAAACAGTATCATTTCGAAGGAGTGATTTTGGAAACAGTGAAACGTTCCGTGTTCAATTTGCGGGATCAATTCCGCACAGTAAGGACTGCAGTAAGAACAATCATTCCTCAAAGTATTTTAGTCCGTAAAATCGATGCTGTGGCTAGTTCTTTTGCGAAGTTCCTTGATTCCATGAAAACGTGAAGTTATTTGGACGTTTGGTCGGTCATTTCTGAGTCGTACCATAGTTCTGTTCAACTCACCATTGATCGTATACGACCCTTTCACACAGGTGCGCGATTTGTCCGAAACCAGACAACTAGAGTTTGTTGGTGCTAGTTGTGACACATTGTCCATTTTTTGGATTGTTGTACTTGACCTGTATTTAGGGTCACTCTTTGGTGCTCATTGACTTTGTACCGTGCACAGGACTTATTTGAGCTGTAGCCGTTCTTGTTCGATCGTACTATGTTTAACTTCAGCGAAGTATGTATCAATCCATGTCTTATTTGAAGAGCTATTCATCTTCGTGGCATATTCACATTCCGTTGCCATTCCACCATATTCATGCTGTTTATGACCTACCGTATTTGGAAGTGCACACTTTCGAAAAAACTGCAATAAACTCCGCTGCTCCAACCCGGTCCACTGTTCGCCAGCTTGAGTGCATTTGTGATGTGAGTTGTCCTATTGCTGCCGCCTGACTTTTGCTCCCTTTCCCCACTCACAGGAAAGTGCAAAATCACAAACCGGAGCCACGTTTTGTTCCTCAGGGTCTGCTTCTTGATCGCCAGCTTTTCAAGGCCAATATGTATCCGGATAAGAACCGTGTTATTCGCGAGTTTATTGCAGATATCTTTGATCAGCATATTACGGAAGCTCTCAAGGTACGGTTTCTGTTTGATTATTTGATTCGGTTTCAGTTTTCGACCAAGACTGCTCCTATACGTAACTTTCTTCTGCTAGTCACGTGTCCGCCGAAGATTTCGTTGAATCATACCTTTGCTGTTTTTGTTCGCTTAGCGTGTGCATGTTTTCGGACCACGTTTAAGCTAATTACCACTTTGTTTTGTGTATCAAATTTTAATCATAGTTTCTCTGCAATGGAGTTCGGTAAGGGGATTTAGTTCTCATCCTGTGTGAAAATCCGTCAATTCAGGTTGACCCATCTAGTGATTTAGCGTTCACTTTTAAAGTGATCTCCATATACCGCCTGAATGACAGGTTTTTTCACTTCGATTAACTTTATACTGAATAATGTCTCCAGCTGTTCCCGCAGACTGTAGGGTCACCTTCCCGCAGATTTGTTTTTTTTTGCTTGTGATCTGCTAACCCTCTGGTACCGTCCTCCTATCTTAATGGAAACACTAAGGGAAATGAACCTCTTGGACACAGCAACCAATGCGAAGAGTATATGGCCGTTCTGTTAGTAGACTTTCCTGGGTAGGACGATTGTATTGCCTCTTGTAGACAGTTAGCACATGTTCGGTTGATTGAGGGACTTTCTCCACAGTTTACCGTTCTTTTTTGGTAGAATGTTCTATTTTCCAAGGTATCTGTCCTACTTACTAGACATACTTGATCTGATGCATCTGCGACTAAGCAAATTTCAGCGAATTTGTATTTGTTTATCTAAATTCTGCTGTTTCAGTCAAGGCAACTGTGCAGTTTTCTTAAACTGACTTTTGAGTTCCGGCATAAGAATTGTTAGTTTGTCGCCTCTTGGAGTCCGCTTCATGAAGTCTAGCAAGTTTCTCAGAATGGAACATACCACAGGGAAAAGGACTTCTTATTGAGGACAACCTCTCTACCTCACCTTAGGCCCCCTCTCACGGGTGAGTTATGCATTAAATCGTGACTAACAGGAGGCGTTATTGTAGTCGCTCCAAAGTAGTCTTACCTGGGCAAAGACCATTCTACGGTTTGCTTCGCACACTTCGACAGAGTTTGTCCGTTATCTTCATAACTTGGGGTTTTCCATACCAGTTACACGTCGATTATTACGACGTTAATGGTTGTTTTCGCCACCCTTAGAAATAATATACACAACCTAAACTGTTGTGCTTCAGGCTGTGTGAATCCTCAGAACGGTTTTTATCAAGGAGAATAAACCAAGCTCCCACTGTGACTGTAACACTCACACTGCAGCGCACTTTTCCGTCTACACACACCGGCTAGGCTAATGATGATTGACCTACAATTACAGTTTTGTGCCTTGAAATGGCATTCGCCTTATGTGCGTTTTGCAGGATACTTGTTTGAGGGCGCCGAATGGTCTGGTTATTAACTTATGGGCTGAGCAGAGAAGAATTATCCTAAAATGGTGGTGGTATGCGAAACAGCGGATTGATTGGTTCAGTAAATCTTATGGTTTATCGATCCGAATGAATCATTTCATTTAAACAAGTCAAGGGTAGATGACTGCACTGAATACCTATGTGAATCCAGTGTACTTGCACTAACGGTAACAATGTGGGGGCGAACTGGGGCACACTCAGGAGAACAGTCAACGTGCACGTGGATGTGAACTGTCAATTTAGGACGAAACAGCTTAGCTTTTTCACGCTTGCTGCCACCGCACAATCAGGTTATTTGAGCCAGATAAAGAGTTGCGTCAAAAGAGATATAGTACGTGTTCAACAGACTAGGAGGAGGCAAAATGACACCAGAAGACGAATACATTTACTTTCCATGAATTGGAAAGTTAGTTCACGTTCTTACCCAAGTACGTTTTTATTCGTTTGTTCTTCAGTTGTACTTTCGATCTTATTGCTTCTGGATCTTTAGTGATAGTCTTGTTCCTTACGGCGGCGCTCCGAAGCCAGTAACTTCAGGTGATTACGTATGGAGAAATACTAGTCTACTTTTGTTGATTCAGATAAGGAACAATCCTGTATTTTAAGTCCTGTCGTCCTCAAATCTACGGTCGTGCTTTCCAATTGGGGGAAGTGTGTCTCGTATGACTCAATTAGCTCTAACTTTCGGTGATGCACAGGCTTATGGTCGGACGCTGCATACCTGTCTTTCTTTTTAGCATTGTCGCATTGTGACATTAATCAATAATCGAACAATCATTCAGTAAAAAGTCACATCTCCATTCTTTCTGCTAGCTTTAGACTGTTCGCGATGATTCCAGTTTCTGTATTTTCTTTCATTAGCGATAAACGATGCCCAAGCGAAGTCATCAGTAAACTCGAGAAGACAACCTGACCAGTTCGGGTTTTTGGCGAACAGATTGTAGACTGAATTTGAGATGACTTGTTTTACTTTGGTCTTTCATCCAGGATTATAGCGATGACTAACATATTCGTGCCTGTTTAGATAAATCCCAGTTCGGAGTTACAAACCAGTTGAGGCACAGTTACGTCACAGTACACACGCATTCCAATCTACCTGAAATCACTTCCACTTCATTCACTATATCCTCTGTATTGCTGGTATGTTCGCAGTAGTAACTTTTTCGGAGGCTTTGAACTTTTTCCAAATAACTCGAAATCGGCCACTGAGTTACGAGAGCGATTAAATTCTCCCGAGTTGATGGATGCTGCTGAAGCTGGTACGCATACAGAAGAACATCCAAGCATTGCATAACTGTCGTCCCTGATTTTAAAAGCAACTTTCTTCTGTATGTCTCAAATATGCATGCAAAAAACGCATATTGAGACTGGCTTTTAGAGTATGGTAAGACTCGCTCCAGGTGAATTACTGGTCAGGTTGTTGGTTTTTCTGAGGGACCATCTTCTTTTGCAAATCCCAGAAAGGTAAAAAAATATTGATGTAATCAAATGTCATCAGCAGCGTGAATTTCCTGAGGTTTTGCTGATTGACTAAACGTATCCTATGATACCTCATAATTTTGTCTGAGACTATATATATATATATATATATATATAGTCTCTAGTTGCGTCATATTGGCGTTCCGGTGGGTCGTATGAATATACTTTTTCCAGGCCCTGAAAACAAACAACGGGCGTGTCGAATTTTCCTTGACCTTATGATAATTCCCCCATTCATCTTATACAACTTTTAGGATGGAATGTATTCTCTCCACACACATCCTTTAGTTTTCATCTGGCCATTGTTTTGAATCTCCAGCCTCTAGACACTCGGTCAGTAGCTGATTGTGCTTCTCGCCGTTAGCAAGATGAACATGTTTGTCTGACTGGTTATTACCGACCGGCGACGTTTGCATGCCTTGCTACTTGGTGGCATTTAGTGGTTCACCAGTTTTCTGCCTGCTTTTCTACGCCGCCGCTACGTGCAGTTCCATTGGGGTGTTCAACAGAGTTTTTTGCAAGTAACAGTGGCAGACTTAAAGCCACCAATCTGTCGATGAGTGTAAACCTCAGATTCCTACTCATGTGAAATTCCATATGTCGGTCTGTGTGCACACTGTTCCTCCATCTTCAGCCGAACTTGCAACAATAATAGGAATTCGACGCCCATTGATATCGCTGGCGCATGTGTCATTTTTGTAACCTGGGCTTTGGAATTCGGATCCTCACTGTGAAATGTCCAACAATTGTTTCGTTTTCCTGGTGAAACCGGTCTGCTTTGTGCCAGCCTGTCGGATCAATATTCGCGGTGGGAAAATCCGGCTTGGTCATCGATTACCCACTTGCGAGTTATTAGGCTAGTGATCCCAAATTTTACTGCACTGGTGTGAAAGGTCTTTAACTGAATGCAGTTCAACCGGAATTTAGTGTGCCATCCTGGCCTGCTGTTTTTAAGATATACTCTGAATAACGTTTTTGTGGAAACCTCATCCTTTCGCGTCCAATTCATTCGCAAACTTCATTCACAAAACATGTCTACCTAACACTTACCTTTTTCTGCGTATTGTTTTGGCTGATTCCGTAGATTCTCATAACCCAGCCACCCGGTAATATTGATAAGGACAGGTAGGAGCTGTCCAACGCTTTTACCAAACACTACGAATAATTTGTGCTCTAATGTTTTTGTTTACGTCTTAAGCGGCGCAATACCATTCGACAGGATCTTAGATCACGTCCAATACGTCGACTTTTTGTGGACGAACTGCAACGCTACGTTGTACCCTCAACTTCCGTTTCAATGAACGATGCTATCAATGACCTCTCGAACAGCGCCAGCTTAAATTGCAGCAGTAGTCGAAATGAGCATGATCAACGTGCTGTGCTAACTTGGGAACAGTTTCAGTTGATTGTTGATTTGCTGGACGAGGCCCTGTGTCAGGAGAGTCAATCGGAAGATTGTGGAATTGCAGCAATTGTAATGGATCTCAGCACTCGGTTCACGACAGTGAGTGAGCACTTTTTTGCATCTGGCTTTGATGGGATACATACATTTGAGAGCAGCAGTGAATAATCGACGTCAGATATTCCGAAACTTCCACTAAAGTCTTCAAGGTTCGAACGGTCTCTGACTGGTTACCTCTCTTATTTAACACTGTAGATCAGATAAAAAAAAATCTGCCCTTCCCGAACTGGTATTATCTAGTCCCTAATTTGGAAGCATTTCTCCTGATCTGTGAGTTCACTATGACAGGGTTTCAAATCAACCCGTACTGCTAGGTGGTGATTCACTGCACTAATTTTCTAAATCGCCAATACCCGTTTGAATAATGACACAAGAGATGCACAGTAGTTTTCAGCTCTTCAGCATAATGTAATCTCGTACTGATCGGTGCTATCCCACTAATGCTGAGTGCTCTCTCACGATAGTCGCCCGAGAGCACATCACGGGTGACGTGAGTTAATGCCCGTACATGCGCTGTCTATCTGCATTGCTAGGGATGATATTTGCCTTGTGAACGTGACTTGATGACGCTGCTGATAAACTACCTCACACCAGATTTAGTGCGCTCAATTCTCACAGGGTGCGTGTTCCAGCCTCTCATGGGATTTGGAGGGCGCGCACTTGCGTTGCTGTACCTCGGTTTTCATTGTCGTGTTGCTTACCGTTAAGTGATAAAATATCAGTTTATCTTTAGGAATTCCCTGTCTTTAAAATATATTTACCGCCGTTCTGTGCGTTTCTCTGCTTCTTACCGATGGCGTGATGCTCTGGAATGCATAGAGCTGCGTTCAGGCACATGGATCAAGCCCTCTGGGTCGTTTTAAACCCTGTCTGCTAATTTACTTTATTTAGTTTTAGCATTTTGCGTAATCTTTATCATTATGTTTCCTTGGGCTGCGTAGTTTGAAACCAGCTTTTTTCACAACTCGCTTATTGGATTAAATAGGAGCATTTAGTTATCGTAGAAGTGACTACAAATCAAGAAATGCATTTCGCGTTCTAATGATCCGTGAAATGGAACAGAAGGTGTGAATTTGGGAAAACACACCCTGGCACCAGCGGCAGAATAAATAGAGTCTACATCCTACAGTGGGAAAGGTATTGAGGACCCTTGGTCAGGATAGACTATGTTTGTTTGTGTAGTCTTACTAGAGTGTAAGCTTGAGAGACCAATGAACTCCTGATCGTTGGTTTGTATGCGGAGCTGAGCAGTTTGAGCACAGATGTTTTTATCCCTAACCGGCGTGGTATCATCAGCACGCTGTTGTCTGCTAATATGTCACCTAGATTGGTGATCAAGCGCTTGCAAGTAAGTCACCCAGACCAGCTTTCGGATCGTTCGTTTTTCTGCTCTCCGCGCTAGTTGCCAATCACCTAATGTATTCTTCTCTACTTATGTCTGTTCCCTAACAGCAAATTAACCATGTTCGGTACTACGCAAACATGACTCAACAGATTCAGCGTCATGCGATTTGGGAACAAATGTCTTTCTGGGAGAACGTATTTAACGAGCACGTAAACAATCAGATACGACAGTTGTATCTACACTTTGCTGAGCAAGAACATCACGCTCAAAAGTCGATTAGTGAACAACCAGCCATGGCACCCCTTCCTCCCAGGACGGATTTTCGTCAAGTGTCACCTCACGCCGTTGATCGAAGACCCCGTCAGGGCAGTGGCTCACCTTACCCGGGCATGAGCAACGGCGAACGTGTATTGACCATTGGCCTGAGAAGAAATTCCTTGGTAAGTTTGTGTAATTGTGTACACGTGGTATTTGTGGTAGATCAAGTTCTTCGGATTTGTAGCACTTCCACTTCTCACTGCACCTTGTTCACTTCACGTCACATTCATTCATTTAATTGGACCGAATGAGTAACGCTGCGCCAAACTTCGCTTTTCTTTTGTTCTAGCCATGTGTGTTGCCTCAGGTAACTAACCAAATACAAACGGTGTACTTGATTCGTTCCCCGTGGTTACATCTTACCTGTCAATCCATCCGTCGACGCATTTCCTTGCCATTCTTCCGATTGATTCCTTTGTGTGCATGGTCCACGTGAAATTAATTGTCTTTCGATTAGTGTCATCTTCTGCGGCTGACCATTTTCGTTTTTCCATCGGCACCTGAGTACAGTTCTGTGCACATTGTCCTAACAAAAGTTGTCAAGTTTGAAATTCTTTCCATTAGGGCGAATACTTGAGAAATCAGATTGCTAATGGACATTTCGCTTATATTTCAGTTATTTTTACCACGGGTCCCAGCCACAACATCGAGTTCGAAATAGCTCAGTAGTTGAGGCGCGAACTTATTGATCGGAAGGCCCGTGCTTTGAATACAACCCTAGCATATCGACTGGGTAACTTGGGAGTGTCTCAGACCTCGTGCTTTCTTTGGGTAGCATGGCAGCCAGACACCGAGTGTTAGAGATGGACGCTTATTATCATTATCATAATTGGTTGTTAGTTATTATTATTGGGCACAACATCCGCTACCAATGCTGATGTTCCTTTTGGGTTTAAATAATGTCATCGAAATTTCTGTCCAGCTGTTTATAGTGACTTTGTTTCATGCCCATAATAGAAAAACTCACTCCTCAGTACATTTTCCATCACCTGGTTTCGAATCTGCGGACCGACAGCCGGCCCTTAACTGCTCACTTATATGCCCCGTTACTGGGAACGTTTCGGGGCTGTCGTTGACTGTGCATTATTTCGTTCCTGGATACGGTCGCGAGTCCAATATCCAGTGTACGACCGGTCACTCCTTGGTACCAGTAATAGCTTCATGTGCCGAACTTTACTTTTATTTTGTTTAAAATATCTGTCGTGGTTCTAACCCGACCTCTGCCTCTCAACTTCCCATGTCCAGGCTGGGGCAACCTCGCAGTATCCCAGTCCTCGTGCTTCCTTGTGGTGGCATGGCAGCTTGGCACCAAAAAGGTGTCGCAACTGAACGAACGATTTTAGTTCCAGTGGTTAAGTTGATTGTTCAACGTTTTCTGAAACTTTGACTTAAATACCTACAATGTGCTGAATGTCAGTTTGGTGATCCGCGCCTCAGGAACCAAGCAAATTGTATATCTGACTCCATGTTATCAATCGGTTTCATTTTATTGCATAATAGAATTGTGGGTTCCAAAAGACGAACGCCATACACTTTAGCGGCAATGTTTTGAGATAAACATGGTGATAGCGCTCATTTACTACGATCATTTGTTTACTACAATGCATGGAGCGGTATTTTGATCGTCCTCTTGGTTATCCGTATGTTCAAAAGTGTGATCGGTAGTGAATTTTCAAATGGCTAGTGGTGACTTGACTTTGGACATCGTAGTTCGATTGTCAGTCATCATCAATTTACCCTGGACCAACAGTTCGTTCAGCTTCCAAGATCGATAGCCCAACAGATACCAGAGCTCAATAACGGCTGCCAAACAGAGATCCGTGTCGAAACATGTGGGGCCTTTGGCGAACTGCATTCGTTTGCATGTTAAGTGGATGTTAATAGAATGGATGTTACTGTTTGCATCAACTTTATGAGTAGTGCGTCCTATCAGGAAAACACATTGCCGTTTATCAAATATTGCCTCAACCGAAACATAAGACAGCTTTTGTACGGTACATTCAATTGAAGAATATCGTGAAGGAGATTCCTCTGAATCCACTTGAGTTTTCCGTTAACACAAACTTCGTTTGCAAATGAGTACATTTCGCCAGTTGCGTAAAATTTGGTGTTCAGGTAGATACGGTTGATAGCAACCGGGTGACTTCGCCTCCCAAGAAAGGCTCAACTAGCCTTGAGCTATTGGATAGCTGTCAGCAACCTTATACGTATTGTATTTCCTTAAAGGAAATATTGGATTGTTGTTTTTACTATGGCCTTCTTACACCCAAATGAAGCAGAGTAATTGTACGTGAAAGACAATCGAAGACGGAAGTTGTGCATAATTACATTTCCGCGAGATTAGTGGTGGACGATTCTTCAAAACAATCCTGTATGATTCCAAGTACTTCACGCGGTCTGCCGCTGTTGTTTGCCCATCTCGTCGTATTCCGGAGAGGCCAGCAAGTAATTATCGGCTTTACGGGTTACACTCCACACACATTCAACTGTCATTGGTAACATGTCTTCACAATGGATCGATGACGCCAGCATAACAGCCCTTTTCTGTAAGTTACAAGGGAACGCCTATCAATTGAAGACAATTTTTGATCTGAATGAAGGGTTTTTCTCCGAAATCTCATACCTGAGGGATATCCCCCTTATGCACCAGTATCTGGTGAATCGAATGTGCCATCGGCCAAAAGACAGTATATCCTGTTTTGTTTGCACGCTCAACTTAAGCAAGTTCAGAGCTTACAAACAACAAACCTAAAGCTGATGCCTCCCAAGTCAAACACACTTATTTGCATTTACATACACGTTTCGTTCCAGCTATTGCCGAAAAAAGTTGTCATGATTCAAAGTACAGATTGAAGCAATAGCAACGTCATCAGATTTGTGTTTGACTTACAGGTTCTGGAGAGATTAAGCTTGTTGGTTATCTCTCTGTGCAGTTAGGCGTCTATATATGACCAGCCAAAATGAAGAAATGTTCACATAGAAGTTTGCGCAATTTCCAGCCTGCCTAAAGCAAGTGCCCATAATGTGCAAGGAAGACTGCTGTAACCAGTAAGGCATTGGGAGGATTTTTGTTGGTATCGTATCTTGATTGGGCATAATCACACAGTATCAGTAGGAAGTTTCTTCTTTCAACTGCTTCTCCCATGATTGAATTAAATATCATCTCTGTGTTTGGTGAAAATGTAGGGGGGGGGGGGATTGCGGCAATTATTTTCAGAAGTCGACGTTGATGATGGTATACCAAATCATGTTTTTGTTAAAGAACACTTAAGGACCAATCAAAACAGTGCCGGAACAAGTGGAAGCAAGGTGTGAACTTCGGTCATGGGTTCGTGAATAAGAACAGACAAACATGATGGAAATCCATCGGATATTGTCTGAAAATTTATCGGAGGGGGGAATATCGCAGTGCAGTCGTGCATGAGAAGATGACCAAAACCATTAAGTAAATCGCCTCCCTAAACGCCAATTGATGGTATCGGTTTTCTTGTTCCCAACCAAGTAGAATGCTGTCGAAGAGATATCTCTTAAGGGGGCTTCTCGCTCCGCTTATGGTAGTTCGCAGTCGATGGGGAACGTTTGCCCAACTTTTTTATTTTGTGTGATTCGTTGCTCACGACAACACGCATATGTCGTTTCAGAATGTCAAACACGCTGACTTCAACAACTTCGAAGCTGTTTTTATTTTGTTTTGCCCGATGATCGTATTTCCACCAGTGGTGCACTGTCCGTCCTTACCTTTCATCCCTTGACAGTTATTTGTGTCAGCGGCTGTTCGTTATTGTCGTGGGACAGACCACCCACTGATGAATTCAACCGACCGCACATCCCCATTGTTTCGCATTTCTATTGGACGAAATGACGCAGTGGTTAGAACGCGAATTTACCAAAATGTTCGCGGTTCGAACCCAACCTCTGCATCTCAAATAAATCGGCCAGCTATAGCACTCTTTCGGTTCCTAGCTGCCATTCCACCCCAAGCAAGCACGAGAGCCGGATACTGCCAGGTTGATCAAGCCTAGGCTGGGGAAGTCGAGGCGTAGAGGTCGGGTTCGAACCATGTGCCATCTTGACTTTTGTCTGTGCTTGGACAATTCGGCAGTATCGTTACCTCGTGCTTACTGCAGGTGGCGTGACAGCCAGGCTCTGACAGGGTGTTGCAACTGAACGGTTATTTTTATTATTTCGCCTCCATTTTCCATCCAGTTTTACACAATGTTAGCCTTTTCGCTTCCTACTTATTTCAAGACATATGGGATGAGTGAATCGATCGCGAATCGATCGCCGTACACTTATTCGGCTGATTATATTAGAAAAACATGAAGTGGATTTGATTTTGTGATGGTCGATTTACTTGATATGTTAACGGAAACACCCAGATCAGTGGAGCCTAAGTAAAAGTCCTTTGTCCCATCACCCCAGAAGTTCGGCCACCACCACCATTACTCCTCGTGATGTTGGGAATGGAGATCATGTCGCGTGTCTTGTTCTGCATCTAATGTTTTTTCCGTGTATACCAATTAGATCAGGTTCTTACATGCTGCGAACACCCTTGTTTAAATCCTACAACCGAGTGGACAGATAATCGATTAAATCTTTTTATTATCAAGTGTTGCGGACTGAAGTGGTTTTTATGCACCTGTCTAGATGCAGGTTTCAGTCCATAATTACTCGTTTCATTCTATTCGCATTTCACTTCTGATCACGTTCACGCATTCCTTATGGGCTGCAAGCAAAAATGAACTGCTCCTTTATTTTTTGCATACGCATGTGCTCCCCTCTTCCATATCCACATTGATTCCATTCCTGCTCCCCTACTGTGAAGACATCAACATAAAAAGTGATTTTTGCTACTTTGATGAGTAGGTTTACGCTTTTCGTGTTAGAAACACCCACTTACGGAATTTTCAATGAGTAGGACAGCCTCGCTTCTGTCGAACCTGTTCAATATGTACATTTTTTCCATGTTTTTGACAAAGATGCCATCACATACTGACGCGGAGCTTTGCAGATGGCCTGATGAGTTTTGAATGCTGATTCATTTGCTTTCTGATCAGATTTTTGTTTACCTCGCCATCCAATAATTGAACAGATCCTGAACTACCCAGTGTGTCAGACGTTTGTGGACGTGTCTGTCACATCGACCTTTTTCACTATATACCCACACACGATCGATCATATCAAACGTAGCTTGCACTGAGCCGCATATGGAACAGTCTGAAGGCCCTCTAGGTGTGAGTGGAGGGGTAAAGACCTAGTATTAACGGAAAGATACCAGTTCTATAGCTAATAGCTTACTATATTAACAGCCGTTGGTCGTCGAACGGAGTGGAGTTAACTGCTGAACCACAATTGAGTCAACCTCGTGTAGTGGTTACGTGGTTTGGTACAAAGGTAGGCATAGGTCAGTGTCACTTCTGGTTTTATCATCGGTTTACTGCCGAAGACTCATGTGCATTGAGACGGGTCCACTGGAAGCATGTAAACAACTAACCACAGAAGAGCCGGTATTCCAGTAGACCGGTTGTCTAAATAGCTACTAGCACCATTTGTGTGAAAAAATTAAGTGGCGTACTGTGATTTGCCATAGGCTAATGTTAATCCTAGTAATGGTGTCGCCCATAAAACTTCACCGGTCATCGCGGGCAAGTTCGGATAGGACTATATTTCCAACAGACCGATTGTCGCTCCATGTCACTAAGTGTGCCTTGTGCCGGGCAGTTGTCCTTGGTCCACTCAGCTTGTAACGATTTTCGGAAGTGATGTCCCCTCGCCCGTTTTCGAATGTTATAGTCCTTTCAGCATCCCTTATATTCATCCCGTGATGAAGTACTCGTACATTATCATAATTTGCTGTTAACTGTTCACCGTGGATCCAACCAACGCCTGTACACCTGAAGATACTTCATGTTTGAATCCAATGCTGATGACACGGCAGCTATGGATATAATAGGTACACATTCAAATCTGATAGGGCACACCACTCGTCACAATTAGTAATACTAATTAAAATCGGTGAATCAGCACCTTCTGAACTACTGTGAAAGTCCCACAAAAGCCCACCATTCTATTCATCCTGCAGATCATTAATGAGTCAATCTGAGCATCAAATTGGCTGGCGTAATTCCCAAATAAAGCTACAGACATGTTACATACACAAAGATTAGGCCTTGGTTCGATTCCAAATCTGCGTGGACCCCTTGTGGTGCATCAGACGTGTTTTCCCTTCCCATTTGGGGTTACACCAGTCGTGACTTATCTTTTCTCATGATTAATTCATTGTTTATAATTGTCGGGGCATCACTTCAGCCAAGCGCAACACTTACTATGTATTCGCTCAATCGTTGACTTCTCAAACTGGGCATGCATACATCACTGTTTATGACTACGGTTCCTTTTGCTTGCAGTCCGGTCTCCAACGTCCAGCTTACACCACTGCAATGTCGGCTTTGGAAATCGCGGCAGAGGAGATCCGCCTGGGTGGCTCACGTGCTAAAGAAATCCAGACTACATTGGAGCTTCAGGAAGAGAGTACAGTTTATGCGCAGATCATACACTTTATTAATCTGATTGTTAACTTTCGAGTCCCACTCGATGTTGCAGCATCAGCAGCTGCTGTGTACGGTGAATTTGGGGACGGACCGAATGAATATCATGCTGATACACCAGTCAATTTAAGTGAAACTCCCTTTAACGGCCCAAGTCGTACTCACGCACGAGAGAATGGATTAGGACAGACTGATCGTTACGATTCGCTGAATCCGGAGAAGCTCGGATCACCTAGTGAACAGTAAGCATTTCACCTCTAACCAACCCTCGCTGTCCCATTTCAGACAAATTCCTCAGTGGAATTAGGTATAGTTTGTTAGTTTGTCTACCCCTTCTCTCTTTGAAGGTTTGGATGTCCTCATCAACCAGCATTGCCCATCTAACCCACCGTTAGATTGCACCATTTCCTATGAGAAAACATCTTGATCAGTTTTGTGTTTAAAAAATATTTCTTCCACAAATCTTCGCAAACGGGAATTTGAGCACACCACTCATAAGGTAATAAATCATATTGATAATTTCTTCCAGTACTCTCTAGGATACTCTGGATACACCATTTTCGTCTCGTCCTCACAGACTTCCATTGTGTGGAAAAATCAAAATCTCTCGTATTTCGATGTATAAACGATATCACCTTCGCTAATCGGGGGTCCCCTTATGGCCTATTCAAACTCAGGAGAATTTTCTCTGCTCCGATTGGGCTAAAAGTACACTTTTAATCATTTCTTGGTGAGAGTCAGCAACATCGTCATTGACAGCAATACCAGATGAGAGCTTCACTGCCGTCATCATCATCATCAAAGACAGCGACATCAGTGTTGGCACTGATGCTTCGCTGCCGTACAACCATGTCGGTGTACTCCACTGGAGAAAAATGGGGTTTCGATATAACTGAGAGCCTTGCATCGAACACCCGAGGTGCTTACACCTCTAGCGCTCACTCAGACAGTCTGGATAGAAATTAATGGTTTGAACGCCACTCCATCGGTTAGCCGCAACACTTTTCAGTGTTCCCAGCCAAACAGGAGGACGGTCATATGGGCCTCAGCCTGGAAGCGGAACGATACCAATAACAACCAAACTTTTTGTAGTATTCTTCATTCTATTCTGCCAAATTCTCCAATTCTAGGTTTCCGCGACGTCGAAATAGTCACGGAAAGCAGTTCTCGTCTCGACAGGTAGTAACTCGGTGTACCTAACACATGGCCCAGCCACCTGAGCTCACAATATTAGGTGCATCCTTCGAGTGAATTACCGTCCGCTTCACCCAAAACCCTATGATTTGATCACCTTGTTCCGGATTCGTTGATTCCAGCGAATTTCATCCATAGTTCTGGTCAAAGACCTTAGATATCCCAGATCCTTCTCTGAAGGGGACAAGTCTCGTAGCCATACAACCATACAACCCATACTGATACAGACACCTTTTGAGATCCGGCGATATGCCTTTTTGATGCCATTATTGGCGCAAATTGGCAATGCAATTCTGGCCTTGGAGATTCCTGGATTGAATTCGTTTGTCACATTACCTTCCAAGCTAATTCAGCCTCAGAGAGTGAAATTGGAAGTGTAATTTCTTGAATTCATAGGGGCGTGTTCAAAGTTATCCCTAGCAGATTCCAGGTTGACAAGGCTCATGATCGGGATATCTGGAAGTCCGTGTTGATGAGACAATAGGTGGACACAGTTTTTATGCTGGGGATCCGGCAGCGAATTGGAAAACGCTTTTGTTGGGATCCGAACGGAAGACCAAAATGTTATTCGCTGGGCTACCCGCGCACTTGATACATTCGAGCTCTCAGCGCTTTCCAAATTTCACGATCGTGGAAGTTTTTCATTGGATACTTATGGAACTGAATTTTTTCTCTGAGATTGCGCAACGCTACTGAGGTCGCTTCAAACTGGTCCGAAAATCTACACACTCTGGCATGTGTGATATAAACTATTTCTCATCACCGAAAGGCGCTTTTGCCACTTCGAGTAAATCTCGCATGGCTTACACTTCCGAACCCTCCATACATCTATGGCTATTGTCCCCTATATCTGAAAAGCTTGTTCCCACATATTAACTTCTGTTTACTGTGAACCATTTATTTTCGGAAAGATTGTTTAACCATACTATGTACCAAACAATAAAAGTCTTCTCATTTCCATCTTCCCCTAGATAGTGAAATGCAATTAGTTTCTGTCGGTTATTGACAGAATGAGTCTGTGTTCCACAAGAATGGTGTTCCAAACTGAAAAATTTATTCCACTTTGATCTTGGCTGTGATTTCCGTCATTCGTATGCTCCTGTTAGTGATAATCCCATCTTATCACTGAACGACCCCTATATTCGTGGTCTATTGAAATATTGATTTCCCTTCACTCGACTTTATCCTGCATGTGAGGTTAAAGGGCCTTTTTCCAAAGGTGGAGAAATACCGCAAGACATGACCGCCACACGAACTGCAATTATACAACCAATATATCCGATATTATGTAGCTGGAGGTAACCATCAACAACTCTCACCTTCTTTCTTCAAATAATGCATTGAACCTCTGGATTCCTGGGAATCAGCTGGGAAATCGTCCACCAGCTGTGTTGGTTTTCAAAGTGCTCCTGCTGTTCATTTCGATTGCACTGTAAGCGAATGGTCATCACTCGTGACGTGTCAGTATTCGGTTGACTCAGGAGAACGTGTTTTGGTCATGCCAAGAGTACATACTACGATTGCGTGCAGAGAATCTGGTGCTTTCTGACTGTCTCAACGTTTCGTAAATTTGTGTCAGTGCACACTGTGTCAAGCATTAACACTCGAAACCTGAAAACCTTCATTTTTATTCACCTTAGAAAGGTTCAGGGCCGATCCAAACACCCTTCTGTCATCATTTTCACACTTTACTCTCTAGTTTATGGAATTCCTTTTTCGTCCAATTTCTCCTGATATCATGAATGGTGCGCTGTCGAAGCGCTTCGCCGTAATTACTTTTGCTGTTTACTTTCCCATGTTGCGTTTATGAGGTTTGTGTTACGCTCACGTGAGATGAATCTTCCGCCTCGCCAATATCGTACTAACAATTGTTCTTCAGGGCCTGTGCGTTGACTTGTTACAAGTATTGATAGGGGTGATAGTCCGTGCTTAGTGTCTCTCACTTTTTTGAACAAAAACGGCACGGTATGCCGTTTGTTGAATACAGACATCATTCGTGATGTTTCATCGATTTTTATGACACCCTTAGGGCGTGCTTAATTTAACCTGAAATATTCTCATCTTACCCAAAACGTAACTTGGAACAAACTGTTCGATCACGGGTTCGTCTAGTAGCGTTGCATGACCGCCTTTTGGTTGAGTCGCTCCACTTTCGGAAACACCCTCACAGGTTTGCGTTGCGAAGCGTGATTTCAGACTACTACGGACCGTTATCCCTACATTTCAACCCGACTTTGTAACAATTTACGACAGAGGCCACCCAAGGCATCCAAAACATCGGATTATGACAACTTGTCTCCCCCTGTTGTATTCTGCGATTACAGTTTTTATACCAAGCGCACTTGGTTAATAATTAATGAGCCGACCTCTGTAAATGGTACCTAGCTTACTTTACTCTGTGGTAACTTTCACATAGGGAATAAATCATGTTTTCGTATACCTTAATTAGTTCACATCTGGTTGCGAACGAAATATGTTATTTTTCGGACCTGTCAATATCAAGAACTCGTGTTCGAAAGGAGTTATATATATATATATATATATATATATATATATATATACAGAAATTCGAAGGTCTTCGACCAGCCTC